ATAAATAAAAGGTTGATACCCTCCACTGAAATTGCCTTTGTGATTGCAAATAATATAAATCAAACAGAAAGAGTTCAGTGGAGAAACCAACTCTGGGAAGCCTCATCTTCAGCATTCACTTATGGATTTGAAAAGGGCTTTAAAAATGAAACCTCTGTATAAACCTACACATTCACAAAGCTGACTTAATTGGTTTTGCTTGCTCCCCTTGCGTGAGCCAGGCAAGCTTCTCCCTGCCTTGCACTGAGCTAGAATGTTTCTCCAGGACTCAATATTATTTCTGGCTGCGTAAGGAAAACTCAGAGATTCCTTCCTTCTTTGGTATAGCACTGAACAAAAAAGACAATATGCATCCAGAGAGCAAGAGCTCTTTCTGTGAGGGCAAGACCTGTGCAAAAGAATAGACAACGTTTCCTAAGACAGCCGCTGGTGGGCCCACATCTACACACTAAATATCAGTGTTCGAACACTCTGATACAGACAAAATCAGAAGAAAAGCCACATACCTCTCTTGTTGGGACTAATATGAGTGCGTAAGGCCCATCACTGCGCTGCAAACAGAATACAAGGTCCACTAAGAAGAATGTAGCACTGAAAAACAGAGTGCTTCCACACCGAACTGCTGTTAGCCAACCAAATGACTTCTGAAGGGGTTTAGTACAAGTTTGCACACAGCAGTTCGGGGTACTCCCCCCTCCCACCTTTTAAAGAAATCAACAGTCTTTCAAATATTGATACTGCACTGCCTTCTCTTCCCTGCTCACAGTCATACCCAACATTTTATTCCATACACATATTGTTTCACTCCTGTATTTCTGAGTTGCATAAATACTCCCACGTTTAATGCACAGCAACAATGTGTAGGTAGAAGTTGCAGAAAGTAACAATCCAGGATGGGTTGGAAACTTTTCATCCAGCATGGAAAGTCAGGATCTCTTTCCATAAAATGCACAGGAGATGGCAGATCTGCAGCAGCCTTTTCGGGTCAACCAGATGATCCAAACTGGGAGCAATTATTCTGTTTCACCTACCTGTATTTTTGATTCCATTCCTTGCAGAGACTGTACAAGTGGAATTCCATAGGCAAGAGTTTTACCTTTTTAAAAGGGAGAAATTTGGAGGATTTTTCATCAATAGAACTTGTGTAAACTACAGCAAATTAAAGTAGCATTCAGCCTACTATTCTTAAGCTGAGGTCAGAGTCTAGAAGAGTTTTAATTAAGTGTAAAGTTCCCAGAAGATTAACAGGCAGCTCACCAAAGAGTCAAATTAAAAAACAGAGAGGTGGTGGTACCCCACTAAGAGCTACCTAAATAAAAAGCCCCACCCACCCAAGCAAATGAGACATCCAGACACAGCTTCCTGCAGAGCAAGCACCTAAGCTTGCGTAGTGAGAGTGCGCACTGTTTAGCTCTGCTGTTTCCTGGCTCTGTGTCTCCAGCATGAGCCTTGGAACAGGCTCCTGTACAACGGATGGCAGCTGCACAGCAACAGCCAGTCCCAGCACTGTGCTGATACAGAAGTTTGCACAGCATCTGTCTGTGTCACAGCAGTCCCATACCAGGCTGCCCAGCCTGTCACTTATATGAACTGTACTGGGAACATGAGGTTTTGGTTCTATATTTGGGATCCAGTTTAATATGCCATATGGGAGGAGACTGACAATTAAATACTGACCTGAACCAGTCTGAGATCTCACTAGAGCATCTTTGCCTTGCAGGAGAACAGGAATTGTTTGCTTCTGAACACTGCATCAAACAAAACGGGTTAGGAAATATGAATGCAACACAGGTCTGTTTCAAGACTGTTTACCCCAAATTCCATGCATTCATCTCTGCTGTGTAGCTACATCAGTAGAGGTAATTTCTAAGGAAAGCCACAGGCAGGCATCGGGTATGATAAACTGAAAAAAGATGATTTTATGATTCAAGTGCCAAATTCAAAGGCAGGACTCAAAGGTTCCACCTTCAGCTGTGACAACTCACTTGCTGTGTAACTTACAAGTTATTTCTCATCCCAGATTTTGAAAGCAACAAACCCTATGGTAAGTGGCACAGCATAACAGATACTTCACAAACCAGTGACATATAACAAAACAATCACAAGTGACTGGCTTTATAGAGCAGTGAAGTGCAAAGTTTTTATATGAATTTGCTTACCTGGTCATGCTACTTATCTTTAGGACGGTTTTTATTGTGGAGATCTAGAGAGATAATAAAGAGCAGTAAACAGGTTTCATTGTCAAACTATTCCTTTTGTTACCTTCTCTAGTACAAGACAGATCAGAAGACTGACACTGATTCTTTACATTACTGGTCCGAGGGCAACTGGATGTAAAAGTTCCCATGATCTCCAAATACTTCTTGGTTAATCAGAATTACGCCATTGCCGGTACATCATGAAATATCAGACTTGTCAAAATACTGCACTCCCAGATAGTTTTCTGTGGGTTTTTTGGCATTATAACTGCAGAAACTGAAGGGTGGGACAGTGTCTTTAGGGATGGGTCAAGACACTGGGGAGCATATTGACCTAAGAGAACACAACAAAATCAGGCAAAGTACTGGCAAGCCTGTCCAAATCACCATGAATAAAGGTGCATCTCCTAGCTCCCTAACCTGCTCCCCATCCAAAAAATCATGTTTCAAGACACACAGCCTTGCTGTCACTCACCAGATGTGGATGGAGGTCCAACTGGCTGAAAGAATCTGTAGTGAAAACATTTTCTTGTACCTGCTGCACTGCTTTTCTGTGTTAGGGGGACACAAACAAAAATAAAACAAAGCACATCATGTGGTTAAAAACTATACAACAGTAGTCTGTGTAGTAGTTTGCCCAAGTAAGGGCAAGAATTCTAGACACTGAAAAGGGGTTTTCCTACTATTTATAAATATATCTAAAGTACCTGTGAATTTCTGGGATATCAGGGTTGTTTCTAAACAGGCTGGATGTCTTAATGAAAGGTTTGCTTTTCTGGCTTTCATTTCGGTTGTCAGCCAACTGCTTTTTAGGAGTAGATTTCTGTGATGAACTTCCCTTCTGCCTGATGTCAGCCTCTATAGCAGGTTTCTTGAAGGTGTTTACTGATAGCTTACATTTACGTTTCAAAGGTGGGTTTCCATTTGGTGACTGAAGCTTTCTTTTTAGAGCACCAGACTGCTTTAATGTTAACAAACCAGAGAGAAAGAATTCATTAACAACTGAGAATTAACAACATGGTATCAAGATGAACACAAACATTAGCCCACAGATAGAACCCCTGCCCCATAACTGAAGAAAGTAAGCTTGATTTTTGCAGCTAGGCAGCTCCTGCTCTACCAGATTCACCAGCATGCCTGAGGCTTCTGAACATCACTGAAATGCAGAGACAAATCTTAAGTCATATATAGTGCTCATCTCTACAAAGGATTTTATCTAGCTTCTCCAAAACACACTTGAAAAATCTCTTTCAAAAGCTCTCCAAATCTCCTGATTACATTAAAGCCATCCCTGCAGGCTTCCTTCAATCTGTGGCCAGGAAGGATGGCCTGTGCTTCACTCCAACTTCTGCTTCTGCCAACCCCCAGCACTTCTGAGCACTTGATTTCTTCTTCTGCAGCAATGAGTTTATTTTACTGATCTTCCAATCATATTAAAAACAGCTTTTGCTCTCCCTGTATCCCTCCAGGAACAATAAAGAAAATTAAATTTAACTTCCTTTGGTCCCCAATGCTCTTCAATGTCCCCAAGCCCTTCTTCAATGAACTTTTTTTTCCTCTCCCTGACACTATTGCAGAGCTCCTGAAATATGTGAAATATCAGCACAATCCTGCCCCACTTTTTCCTCTCGTCTCTGCTCCTAGTTGCACACTCTGATTTTCTTCTATGACCTATACTGTTTCACTCGTTTCTTCACATTTTTGGCAACCAACCAAACCCCAACCTCCTTCCTCCAACATTCACCATCACAAAAGTGATGGTGGTGGTGCCCTACCTCCAAGCGCCTCATATAACCAAGGTAAATCCTGGCAATCACTTAACTCTTACATACTTTTGTACAGTATTTTAAGAACGATTTAAAAATTCGGAGCAACAACCAAAACAACCCAGAATCACTATAACAATAACTTTAAAATGGAAGTACCTAGGTAACCCATTCTTGCTCATCTTTCTTCAAACTGATGTAAAGCACCTATTCCAGCCCTTCACAGCATTCCCACAATTAGCAGTTTACTCTAAAACACGACTTCCCCCCCCCCCCCCCCCCCCATCAGCATTTCAGGGCATCGCTAAATAAGGCAGAAGCCTGTAAGAGCGTTACCCACAGCTTCAGCAGCCACCATACCAGTCCGAAGCCGCCAGCAAGGCAAGGGAAGAGCAGAGCAGCCCCGCTGAAGGGATCAGAGAAGCTCGTACCTCGTGTTTCCCACCACCACTACCCAGGGCCGGCCCGTCTCCGTGCCCAGCACGCCGGCCCCTCTGCAGACACCAACCCCGTCCCTAACGGGAAAGCCAAAACCTCCATTTAACAACTTCTTAGACTCTTTCCCCCCTGACCGCGGCTCCCCGGGCCAGCCCCAGCCGGTGCCCCCAGCTCCACTCCTGACGGCAGCCACGGCTTCGGCCGGCAGCAGCCTCCCCGCACCCGGTAAAGGGATGGCTGTCGCTTGTCCCGGGCCGGGTCCCCGACCTGCCCTGGCAGCACCTACCCGGCTGCGATCCCGCGACGCCAGGCTGAGGTTGAGGAGCAGCGTCCCGCCCGCCGCCATAGCCCACCGCCTCCCGGAGGGCCCCGGGACCGTCCCTGGGGCCGGGCCCTGCGCAGGGGGATGGAGGAAATGCGGGTGGAGGGTCCCCAGCGGGGACGGTCACTGTCCCAGAGCGCCCCTGCCTCAGCCGCCCGCCCTCCCGCAGGGGCCCAGCGGGGCACGCTCCGTCCCCGCCGCCCGCGGGGCGATGCAGGCAGCGGCGGGGCAGCCCCAGCCGGGCCGGCCGGGGGCTTCGGCAGCGGCGGTGGCGCATGCGCTCGGCAGCCCGAGCGGCGGCGGTAAGATGGCGGCGGCGGAGCGTGGGGGCAGCCCCTCGCTGTCGGCCGGGGAGGAGGAGCCGCCGCTGGGGCTCGACTCGCTGGTCGAGGAGGCGGCGGCCGCAGCTCCGAGCGCCGGGTTCCGGCTGACGGCGGTGCGGCGGGAGCCCGCGGTGCGGCTGCAGCATGGCGTCAGCGGGCTGGAGCCGCTGGCCTGGTCGGAGGACCACCGTGTGTCGGTGAGCACGGCCCGCAGCATCGCCGTGCTGGAGCAGCTCAGCGACGTCCACAGCGGCGGGCAGGAGATGGTCATCCACCGCACGGCCGTGCCCGCGCCCTCCGCCGCCTGTCTGCTCAAGGTGAGCCGCCTCCCGGGGATGCTCCTGCCCCGCGCACAACTCGCAGCGGTACATGCAGCGTCTCGTGCGATTTAAAAGCATAGGGGAATAAAGCCCCTATATATAAACTAGTAACGTGAAGGGGGAATTAGAGCCGCTACCGAGTGGATTTCAGGGATTCTTTTCTAAGCATCACTTGAGCTCCAGCACTTTGCTGACAAACAAAATTTTAAGTAGAAATCTCCCTGAAAGACTTTTGCAGCAGAGCTTCAAGGGGGACTTCTGACACTCCATAGCACAAAGAGGTAGCAAGTCTGGGTGCCTTATTATAAATAAGTCTGTTGTCTTGGGCCTTTAAATATACACTTAAGAAGTAGAAAACGGGCTCTTTGATTCAGCAGACAAAGGTTCAATAGTTGAGAGTCAAAGCTCTACGAATTCAGGCCAAAAATTAAGCTTAAATCTTTAAAACTGCAATTAATTAACCATTGGAACAGTGTAGTGTACATTGTGACAGAGAATGCTCTGTTTCAAGTGGGTATTAATTCCAGGAAAGTCTTCCCTCTACGACTGTTCTTAGATATTCTTTCTGTTACCTTCTAGGTTGGTCCAAAGAAGGAGGTAGCCGAATGCAAGGAAAAGTTTGCAAATTCAATGGATCCAACTGTTAGTCAAACTTTTATGCTGGATCGAGTATTCAATCCCGAGGGGAAGTCTTTGCCACCCATGCGAGGATTCAAGTACTCCAGCTGGTCACCGCTGGGCTGTGACGCCAACGGGAGGTGCCTGCTTGCAGCTTTAACCATGGACAATCGACTGACCATCCACGCAAACCTCAACAGGCTGCAGTGGGTGCAGCTGGTGGACCTGACGGAAATCTATGGGGAGCGTTTGTATGAAGCCGCTTACAAACTTTCCAAGGCTGACACTCCCAGGGGGGAGTTAGGAGACTTCCCTGAATTTCAGCGGCGGCACAGCATGCAGACTCCAGTGCGCATGGAGTGGTCGGGCATCTGCACCACTCAGCAGGTCAAGCACAACAACGAATGCCGGGATGTCGGCAGTGTGCTCTTAGCAGTACTGTTTGAAAATAGCAACATTGCAGTTTGGCAATTTCAGCTTCCATTTCTGGGTAAGGAATCAATTACTTCTTGCAATACGATAGAGTCTGGAATCTGTTCCCCAAGTGTGTTGTCTTGGTGGGAATATGAACATAACAACCGAAAGATGAGCGGACTTATTGTAGGGAGTGCTTTTGGACCGGTTAAGATCCTTCCTGTCAATTTAAAAGCAGTCAAAGGCTACTTTACACTGAGACAACCCGTAGTCTTATGGCAAGAAATGGACCAGTTACCAGTGCATAGTATCAAATGTATTCCTCTCTACCACCCATACCAGAAATGTAGTTGTAGCTTAGTGGTGGCCGCAAGAGGAGCTTATGTGTTTTGGTGTCTCCTGTTGATATCCAAAGCAGGTCTGAATGTCCATAATTCCCATGTGACAGGGCTTCATTCTTTGCCAATTGTATCCATGACTGCAGACAAACAGAATGGCACGGTGTATACATGCTCCAGTGATGGAAAGGTAAGGCAGCTCATTCCTATATTCACAGACGTTGCTTTAAAGTTTGAGCACCAGCTGATTAAGCTCTCGGAAGTGTTTGGCTCTGTCAGGACTCATGGAATAGCTGTTAGCCCGTGTGGGGCATACTTGGCAGTTATTACAACAGAGGGCATGACTAATGGTCTGCACCCAGTTAACAAAAACTACCGAGTCCAGTTTGTCACCCTTAAGACTTTTGAGGAGGCAGCTGCCCAGCTCTTGGAATCTTCTGTTCAGAACCTTTTCCGGCAAGTGGACTTGACAGACCTTGTACGCTGGAAAATCTTGAAGGATAAGCATATTCCTCAATTCTTACAGGAAGCACTGGATAAAAAGATTGAGAGCTGTGGTTCCACCTACTTCTGGCGGCTTAAGCTATTTCTCCTAAGGATTTTGTACCAGTCAATGCAGAAAGCTCCCTCAGAGGTCATGTGGAGACCTTCACATGAGGACACAAAAATCTTGATATCTGATTCCCCTGGGATGGGCAGCACTGAGGATGATCAGGAGGAAGGAACTTCCAAACAAGCCAGCAGGCAGAGCCTGTGTGGCACTGGCAAAGGTATGGACATAGATGACACTGCAGATGATTCTCTTCCTCAGTCAAGTGACATAGGAGGCCGTGAGCCAATGGAAGAAAAGCTTCTTGAAATACAGGCACAGATTGAGGCAGTAGAAATGCACTTGACACGAGAACACATGAAACGGGTGTTGGGAGAAGTGTATCTACACACATGGATTACAGAAAACACCAGTATTCCCACCAGAGGAGTCTGTGACTTCTTAATGTCCGATGCTGGCTATGATGACAGAACAGCACGAGTAAGTGCACCTCTATGCTCTGGGGGTTTGGTGTTAAAAGTTACTTCTTTATCCCCCCTCCATATCCTTAATTTAAATTACAACTTTGAGGTGGGAAAGAGAACTGTAATCACGTCATCCTTGCCAGTCAGCTTAAGTTGTCATTCCTTGAAATTGTGGAGTATGAGGGAATGTAAATACAGATGGTGGAATTTGCATCAGGTACAGTAAAGAGTAAGCATGCCTGAGTTTTTGCGGAGTGAAGAGAGCTATGGTTATTATGCCCCTGTTGGTGGGTTACAAACACGTACTAATTGAGAAGGATATTGTTTTCATGGCTAAACTTATTTAATCACTCATCTCTCAAAACTAAACTTGGGAGTTATTTCCTCCTGACAGTTGAATCTGCAGTTCTAATTTTAAGAGTTGCAGTAATGCTTTATCATTGAAAATACTGTGATTGTTCAGGTGATACATCAGGTATTGTCATTGCTCCATGAGCCTTCAGTAGAAAGATCAGTTAAAGGGGTTCAGAAAGTGATTGTGTTCTGTAAGTGGAACCCAGTGATTCAGAACTTTGTGCAGGACTTCCAGTTAACCAAACTGACTGAAGGTCTTTGTTACAGCAGACATGGCCTGAACCTTCAGGCATGCTTGCATTTACTGAACTGCAATAAATGAACATAACTGAATGCTTGGCCATGATAGGAAGTCCTCCCAAACTTGCAATACTCCCTATCAAAATAGAAGCATAACTGCAGGGACAGTACCCTGACTATTGCAGTGTGTAGAGTAAGCGTTTGTGGCAGGAAATAAGTGACAAATGAACCTTGCACTGGGCAATGAAGTTTTCTGAATATAGGCATCAGACAAAGGAAGCTTCAGTGGGAACACTGCCATCAGCCTCCTGGCTCTTAAGACTTGATGACAGGAATGTCTCAGATATCTCTGTACCTCTTTGTATGAGCAGAGAACAGGGTTTTTTCAGTACCTAAGTCCTTAAATCACTTGAAGTCTAAAAACCAACCCTTACATTGCGTCCAGAAAGACAGAGGAAGGGAGCACATTCCCACTACTGATGTGGCATGGTGGTCTTTCTCCTGGACTTAAAAGCAAGCAGGCCACAGTGTCGCTCTCAGTAATTCACTAGGGAAGTATCCTGGCAGAACTGCGCTTTTCTAGCATCCAGTTACTGTGAACTGAAGGTTGGAGAGGGTGCTTTTCTTACCACATAAACAAGATTTTTCTTTTTTATAGCGATTAAAAAGCTGACTTACAGATTCTGTTTTAGCTATTGTTTGCTGTCACATTTTAAAGGTCCTTGGAATGCTGTTTATAGCTACTGAAATGTCAGAGACAAATTCCATCACATACATGTACTACTATAAATTATGTATACTCTGAGATGACTACTGAAGACATGCATCCAGGTAATTTCTGAACAGGATCTTTTTAGCACATCCATTGTGATAATCATGAGAAAAAGCGTTGCTGTAATGATCAGTGGCATTCCCTAAAGTGGTGCCAGTACTTCTAAAATCTGCAAGTAGGTTAACATAACACTATTGCTCTTAAACTCTGTATTCCTTTACTGTGGGACAGAAGTCTTTAGGAGATAACAATAAAATGAGAGTAAATTGATACTTACCAATGTGTTCTATTTCTAGTGCTTTTGTTTCCTTGAATACAGTGAAGTACATAGATCTTTGCATCCTGTACCATATTCTAAAATGACAGTATCCTGAGAGACATTTCCACCTTTCAGTAGGCAGCTTTGCTGTATACAGTGCTGACTGCTCTGTATTCCAGGTGCTGATCGGCCATATCTTAAAGAAAATGAACAAACAGACTTTTCCAGAGCACTGCAGCTTGTGTAAAGAGATCCTGCCATTCACCGATCGCAAACAGGCAGTCTGCTCCAATGGACATATTTGGCTCAGGTAATTGGTTCTTAAAGAGTTTTTGCCCTCCTCTGCATAATTTAAACATACTTATATAGCTAACCTGAAGTACTTCTTAGTGCTGGAGTAAAAAGTCATGAAGCTTGTTATCCATGCTGCAGTTAATTGCAGGTTTTGCTGGCTGTTATCTGTCATCTCCTGAGAAAAGGGAGGGCATTGTAGACTGGATTTGGTTCTTTTATCAGTGTACCATATTTAAAACAAATGCTTTTGATCATGAACTTCTTAATTCAAGCAGAGGGAGGATGGGGGCAGGGAGACAGTAGGAGAGGGAAACTGAAGCCCAAGTCATCCTTTGGAACAGCACAGTGAAGGAGGGTTTGTTCCAGCTACTTGAGCATTTGAAAACAAAATTATTTAACAAAAAAAAAAGATTGGAAACAGCCACATTGAAAAGTCAGACAAGTTCTGGAACATATAGGAAAGAAAACCTTCCAATATAGATATATCAGGTACATAGTGCTTGTCCATGGAGACTTGGCAAGTTAGTAGTCTGTCACAAAGGAAAACATTTGTCTAACAGATTTTATGTGTTAATTTTGCTAAATAGTCATTGCCTTAAAGACACCATGGGTCTTCCCCTGTGCAGTAACCCTCAAGCTTTTTACCTTTTCTACTATGGCTAACATTTTTTGGCCAGTGATGAAACTTTTTTCAATAGCATATTGACTTCTGGCCTTTTTCACGTTGGTGGCCACATGTAATTGGGTACAGTTGTGAAGTTTCATGTATCTGAATTGATAAATCATTCATTTTTGTGTTTAATGGGGCTCCCTTACTCTGAGAAAGCAAGGTATATTTGGAACAGAACCCAGCTTAAAGTAAGGGCATAGGAGCAGGTCACAAAAACATAATAAACCCCCAAGCCTCTTGATAAAACTTCTTCTCCTTTCACAGGTGCTTTCTAACTTACCAATCCTGCCAGAGTTTGGTGTACAGGAGGTGTTTACTTCACGACAGCATTGCACGGCATCCAACCCCAGAAGGTAAACTCTTTCTGTGGCCCAAAGGGGCAGGATTACATATTCCTAAATTCTTATCTGCAAAACAACTTGAATTAGTTTCATTGTTTTTTCTCTTTGAGGCAGTTACCATGTGAAGTATTAGGACCCAGCATTTCACAGTATCCCATTGCTGCCCATGCATTAGTGGCATATGTTAATTACAAAATACTGACTGCAGAAGTCAATTCATAAATACTACATTTTAATGAGAGCTGGGTAAACACATAATCTGTGCTGGAGCGCTACAACAGTTAGTTTATATTCAAGTTGAATATATTAGCATCTAGTTCTGCAAGAGGGTCTTTGGCATTCTACTTCAGTGCAAGCTCTGTTGATCCAGCACAGGTTAAGAAATAGTTAGCACCGTTTGGCTTAAGTCCCAAACCTGCCATAAGTGCAGCATTCAGAGACAATAATGAGCCAGTCAGCCTGTTGGCTATGCATTTTCAGAGTTTGAGGAAGGACAAACTGTGGAAGAAAATTGTTTTCTTCCTGACTGGTAAAAACTTAAAAAACAATAAATAAAAAAATTAAATAAATCATGGAGTACTCTAACAGTTTGTCTTAAAATGTAGGTGATACTTTTTCTCTGCCCATAATAGGTGGGTATTCCAGTCAGCACTAAGGATCAACTACAGAACTTAAATTTCTATAGAGAGGCTGTAAACTTAATTACACTGTATTTGAGAGGGATGAAGAAACAGGAACCAGGGACTGCATTATATGAAGGATCTAAATTCATTTAAGAAAATGAGAACACTACATTAGTATGTAGTATGTAATGATACAGCATGGTATTTCACCTTGATTTTTTTCCCCTACTGAAGAGGAATTTAAACTGGCATTACATGAAATTTCAAGACAGAAATGGAGGTGTATTCCCCTTAACTCTCAGTCCTGCATGGTAACTATATACAAAGTGTTTCAGGATTACTACTTAGTTTGTTCAACTCGGGCATCATTCCTGCGTTCACCTCCACCTCCAGCTTTAAACAACTTGTGTTCTTATTTGCAGATCCTGAATGGATCAAGAGGTTACTGCAAGGACCTTGCACGTTCTGTGATTCTCCTGTTTTCTAGAGAAAAGCTATGTAAAGATTGAAAGTACTTTCTCTACTGCATAAGCTCCCTTCAGTCTCAAAGGATATAGAGTACAGGAATCAGACTTTACTGGAGGGGAAGGACATTGTCCATAGCCTTGTAAATAGAACATCACTAGTTCTAGAAACTCCTTGAGTCCAGAGCCCATTCCATGCTCCAGAAACAGGAATACATCTGAAAGAGCAAGTTTATGAAGTGGTTTGGAAATGCACTCCCCCACTGAAGCATCAGCAGTTGGACATGCTTCCTTTTGCTGAAAAGGAACCGAAGTCAAGCACGCAGCATGAACTGTCCTTTCTGCCTCACAACAGTGTGACTTCCCAAAAGCCAGGACGGGAACAGCGGAGCTGCCTCTTGAATGCTCTTGGTGGGTAGAGAAGGCTTCAGCTTGTAGTGCTCTCACTTGCTTTTTAGCAAGGACTAGCACTTGCTGCAGAATATTAAACTATAAAAATAATTTGTGGTTCTAATTTCTTGCAGAGTGAAGCGTATGCCCGTTACGGCCATATGAAATAAATTGGCCGTTACATTAGTTTTACTTACAGTCTAGAAGAGTAACTGCCTCTTAACTGTTGTAACAGTATCGCAGTCAGAAGGGTAATATTGACTGTCTGGGTCAAATATGGATGAGCAAGAATAATTTTTAAACGTAAAAATTATTAAACTAATAGCAATTAGATTAAACACTAATATATATACACACACACATTATTTCCAATGCTCCTACGTTTCTTGCCCCACTTTCTTTTCCTGAACTAAATTCTAACTACTTCCTAGCTTTTTGACAACATATATGCCTTTTGTTTCACTTAACCCTCTACCAACAGGAATGATCTTTTACAGTGTAACTCAGTTACTAAAACCATTACCAATTTATCTTATTTTTAGTTAAATTGAGAGTCTCCCTCATACAATAATCGAGTTTTTTGGAAGTATGACACACAAGTAATCACTCTCAGCTGACGGTCTCTGTTTTCCTAATAAAGCAGTAGAAATCCCACAAACCAACAAAACACCCCAAACCCAACCACCACCACTGTGGCTGACACATAATAGGTAAGGTTTCAATGGGTGGTCATGGAATCTGTTGAAGCTATTCTTTGTATAATCCTGACCTTCTCATCAAGAGATTCATAAATACACCAGTGATGTAGCATGGCTGAGCCCAGAAACTTACTCTGCTTCCTAACTGTCCTATCAGAAAAAAACCCACATCTTTATATCTCATGCCTGTGAGGAGCAGGAGAATAATTTTCAACTTCTATGCAGCATTAAGAGGAAGAATACCTCAAAACCATGTACGGTGATTTGGTGCAGTTTATCTTGTTAACTCCATGTTGTCAAATATTCCAAAGTTCATGTATTTACATTCTTCAGAGTACCAGCCTGGACACTCGGATATGTTGTCCTGTCTGTGGTTCTCATGACACTTCTAATTGTGTGTGAAGTGCTCTGTAGCTATTTGAGAAACCAAGGAACTGTGTGACAGTATCAGACTCCAGCAGTGCATGTGTGGATCGGTACTTAAATTTCCTTGAGTCAATGACTATGCATATCTTTTTAATGTTCCTTCACCTTCAGTAGGAGCAAATCTTTTTCAGCTAACATTAACCCAGGTCCTTACTATTCTGTGTTTCATGCATTAAGCATGATAGCGCTTTGACTGCAAATAATTAATATGGTAGCCTAGAACAGCAGAAGTACATCTGTCTGTAAAATAGCCTTGTTTGTAAATATCCTTGGAAGTGATACCAGAACTGTATTAAAGAAATGTTTAGTTTTTTATTGCTATGCATTGAAAATTGAAATTACTTCAGTGTGTCTGCAGAGAAGGAAAGTGTAGATTGTGATAGCACCTAGTAAAACAAAGAGTAACCTCGATACCCAGCACATGCGCAGTTTGGGGCCAGGTGCTGTACCTGGTGCAGCGTTTACCTCCTCCTTCCCAGCGCTGATGGGGTTTGGGGGGAACAGAACATCAGTTGCCACTATAAGCTGAGCAGAGGGTTGATTCACTGTGGTAGAGAAAACATTTTAGATGGAAGTGGCATGTCCTTGTCCAGGCAGTCTTGGCCAGTTCATTAGTGAGTGCTGTTCTCAGAAATGCACCTGACTGTGGAAGACATGAGAGAACTCTCCAGAACCTTGTACATCAAAGACCATTTCTTCAATACTGGCTTAGAAACCATAATAATATTCTGATCTGCTGAAGTGTTTATGTCTGGCTGACCAATAGGTTCAGCATGATACTATTAGGTTAATTCCTGGTGGTTACTTAACAGCAGTTCTCTTGACTTTCCTGGACTGAGTTTTTGATGCTTTAGACATGTAGAAGCTCTAGTACATGGAGCATTAACATTGCAACTTTAATGTTTATTTTCCTTGTCTTTCAAGGCAGTAGATACTCAGTATACCATTGCCAGTTTATTTAACATAGGATTCCATCATTGCTGGAAGAATGGAATTTTAAAGCCAATGACGTCAGCTTTGTCTGCATGCCAGTGGAGAACCTTTAGCACAAAGCTTTCACTCCTCACCCTGACCCATTCACCAGAGGTGAATGAAATGGGTCTCCGTGGAGGTACCTGCTAGTTTAGATTTCTGCTGGGAAACACCAGGTTAGGAAGCTCCTTTTTGCCCCCCCTCACCATGTAAGTAAACAAGGATAACTTGAGCTTGGCTGTAGTCATCTGGAGCCCCGTCCCATCTGCCGAAGATGCAGGGATCTTAACAAGAAGGAGCTGAGCCTTGAAAGTGTCAATCCAAGGTAGTTTCTCACAGCTTGAAGAGGTTGGTATGTGTGCGTAGCAATGCCCACAGAGCTCAAATTCACACTTATAGTGGAGGAGGGCCTTCTATACATACTCTCACTTAAATTTCTGTCTGTGCTAATCTTTGGCTGTACTCAGTTCTAACTCATACCTTACACTGGAGATGTTCCCAGACACTTGGTGTCAGGTGGAATATTCTTTCTGTCACTATTTTTTAATGCTAACTCAGTCTTTAGCCCTTGAAGGACCTGGGGCTCTTGCTGCTCTGTCATGACTCAGGTGGTGACCTCAGGAATGTCACAGTGGCTGGTGGATGATTGCTGTCACTGTTGCAATGCTGCCAGTATACGGGGCACTTGGTAGCATTAACTATGCTACACTGGGGGGCCGAAAGTGGAATAATTCCCTGTGCTGTCCTAGGCCATGGCTGAATCAACCCAAATGCGAATCCTTGGAGCACTTTATCACAGGAGGATTCATGCGCTGCTGAGAGCCTGCGGCAGGAGTCACAGGACTGCACCAGCCCCACAGCGTTCTTACTGAACACGAAGGCAGGAGACCAGCCTTGCGATGGGAACACCCAAGAGCCATCCACATGGAACTGTTCAGAGGAGAGCTTAATTTCATTACTCTGCTAATCTAGTTGATCTCTTCATCCTACTTTAATTCCATTCTGGGGTGCGAGGGTTGTGGCTGCCAGACCATGTGGTCACCAGGCTGACCAAAATGCAAAGTTGAGTTATAATCCTCAGTTTCTGTATTTTTCCTTTAAGATTCAAGTTCACAGGAGGGTGTGACAAGGTTGCTGTGAATATCAATGCTGTGTATATGGCACACTTTGTAAACGTGAAGCAAACCTGGATGAATGTTTTGTATACCACCACAGTAGCACTGTAACCATGCTCCTTTTTTTTTACTCTAAATAAATAAATAAAGTACTTGTTTGTAACGCCTGTCTTTTAAGGGACTGAATTCCTGTGAGGGACATGGGGTGCTAAGAGCTGAGACTGGCAAGACAGAGCAGTGTAGCTGAACACTCAGACCTTCAGCACAAAGCTTCACACTTACTTAAAAAAGGTGTAATAATAAAAAGCTCACTGTGGCCACTGTCACAGAACAGAGGTGGTAAAACCTGGAAGAGGACCCAGATCAGGCACTGCCCCTCAGCCACACAAGTCCCTTTGTATCATCAGCACAGGGTCAGCCCCTCTTTTCCCTGGTTTCCCAAACTGCCACCTGCGATGCTCCAAGTCTGAAAAACAATGCTGCTAATGAACCAACCTTCTTTGATGAAAGGAGCCTGACATCACATTGTGTTTTCTTTCATAGAATCAAACAGTTCTTGTTGCAGAGAGAGGAGAAAGACCCCAGAGAGGCTTCTCATAGAGGGGAAAGACAATTTTCTGTATGAAGTATGTCTGACAAGGGAAAAGTCACCTGTCAGGTTCAGTTCTGACAACCACAACATAGTTACAGTTCGCTCCTACTCCAGATCTGCTCTGCTCCAGCTGCCCCTTTGGGAAACAGAGCTGAGGCACAGGGAGGTACCAAGCCTGTCCTTGCTCTACCCCAGCCCTTGAGGACCACTGCAGTCCCACAGCTTCTACAGCACCTTGTGAATGGGTGATGGCAAAACCAGTGTCACTGAAAGTTTTTGTGCTGGCATCATCACATGAGCAGCACCTGAGCCTTAGAGAGAAAGGTGAGAAACCAAAGGGGGAGGCAGGGAAAATCCTTCATGGGCTCACAGGGGCCCTGCAGAGAGGTGCTGGAGGATTTGGCCTCTGCCTGGGGGTGTTCAAGAGTCCTTTTACTATGGTACACTGAGGGAAACTATTGTTTGGAACAGGTGGACACTAAAGTTTGTGGAACACTTGGACACTGAACTATGTAATTAACAGCATAACATATAGGGTATGGCACAACCTCTGAGCAGCCCTCTCCACAAAGCATCTTCAGGAGGCAGAATGATAAACAACGTCCATTTCAGGACCAGGCAAGCTGTGCTATAAGTAAAATCTGATCCCTGCTGTGTTCTTATCACTTCCTCTTTACCTTGTTTTTCTCATTGCTCAACATTTGTTTTGCCAGAATAAGATGCTAATAAAATCAAGCGTAGTTACCAAATTGGTTTTCAAGTGTTGCATTCCAATTATAAAAGCCTAATTCCTCCTTCCACCCACTGAACCTTTGTGGTATTAACAGGCTTTACTATGCAAAGTCATGCAGGGGCTGCTTCGTTTACAGTAATTAAATGAATGTCAATTGTTTTAGTTGTTTCTGAGGGAGAGTTCTACATGAGTATTAGCATGTTCTGCTAACCCTTACGTTCTGCACTTCAGGCCTGCTGCAAGCCCTTGGGGGTTGACCATTGACCTGAGACTCCGTACCCAGACATGCCAAGCGCATCTCAATGAGACGAGCTCTTTTTCTCAGTTTCTGTGGAACCAGCAGAGCGGAACTAATATAGCATCCGCATATAGATGAAAGAATGAAGAGGAAAAAGGGCTTTACAGCTAAATTAATTAAGCAGATGTACCTGTCTAATTAAAGATGCTCTGTTCCTTTTGTACCCTAGCTGCAGTACAAACAGTATTTAAATACACTCTCTATCCATTTCATCTATCAAAATATTTAGTAGGAACACTCAGATGAAGGTGATATTAGCAAGATGAGCTTCCCATGTATTATTAATAGAAGGGCTCCCAATTATGCATGAATGCTACAGCATATCTTTATAGCAACAGCATAAAAAACAGCTGCCCAAGTAGGTTATCGACCAGCACATTTGTAACAGGTAGGACTGTTATCAATGCCCTTGCCCAGCTTTACACAAGGGTTTGCGGTTGGGCCCTGTGCTGTGGGAGCAGCCTTTGCCTCAGCCTTGTGCTATGAGCTGGAGTTTCTCAGTGCAAGAGGCACAGAGAACTCAGCTTGCATTGCTGATGCCAGAGGATTTGGGTTTCTTCGATTTCAAAGATACTTATGCTAAGATTCTTAAAGCCCCCCTCAGGGCTGTAAAGTTTAATTCCCATTCACCACCACACCCCCCCCCCCCCCCCCCCCCCCCAAAGGTATTAAAATTTTGACCTGAAGCTCTCCCAGAACAATGCAATATCCCCATAGCCATCTGGATAACCAGGGTCTTTCCATCTGAATTTACATGCGTGAGAAGGAAGTTTGGCACATACCGCACTCTGCATAGACCAAGGCAAACACAGAGGCAGGAACAGACCCAAACTTATTCACAGCAAAAGGACCAGAAAAGTCATCTAAAACCAAAATGCTTCTCCAAGAGCAGGAGATATGTGCCTCCCGCACCTTCCTAGGTACAGAGGCTTCCAGGAGAAAGTTGAAGCTGCTCCCCATCCCCTGCTCAAGGGAATTCACATGCATATGCAAGGGAGAAATAGAGGGAGACATAATAGAGGCATCAAACTCGGTGCTCCTCTGAATCACAACAAACCATTTCCACAGCCAGAGCCTGAGCTAGCCAACAGAGGGCTGTGCTTTTCATCAAGGATCTTCCAGTTCAAAAAAAAGACTTACCTGATCCTGCAGCCAGATCCAGTCAGAGCAAAAAAACCTGGGCACCAACCTGCCCCAGCCACGGCTCAGTCAGGGCAGCCCCAGGCTGGGAGCCTTGCTTCCTGAGGAAAACAATTTAGTAACCTACCTGCTCCTGCAGCTCGTTATGTCCTTAACTGGGTTCTGAAAGAGATGAACCTACAACCACTTTCCTATGGCTCTGGATACTTTCTCCAGTTCCAAGTCTTTCTGCCCAGCCACAGGATTGGAATGCAGAACAGGGTGAAGGCAACAGCCACTGCAGCTGCAGAGTTTTGTGTCAAAACTTTTGAAGTGATCTGAATTAGCAAGGGAATAAAAACCTCTGCACCCTGGTCTCCAACCACTGCAGAGCTGTAAACTTCATTTTCCATTTTCTTTCATGTTTGCTTGCCACAGAGCGTGACAGTGAGGTAGCCAAGTAGTGCCTGTGTAGTTTTGGTGGAGAGCAGTGAGTGAATTATGACACAAAACATTTCATAGCTTTAACACTCCAGTTGGCTTCACATATATTACACAATTAAAACAAAATTACTATTCACTGAATTACAGAATCGGAAAAATATATTTGAATTAAACACAGGAACTTCCCTCCCCACAGCGCTTCATACCTTGGATCACAAAATAGAAGTCAAAAAAGTTTCCCCTAAGCACAATTTCTTACTCTCTGTACTTCAGTCAGCCTTGGTGAGCTTCAAATTCAACATGGCTCGGCTGCCTTCCTCTCCACCTGTGATAATGTGCCACTTCAGTGACCAGACTGCAAACGCTACAGGGAAAAATTTAAAATCAACAGTTCAAGCAATCATCCATATTAATTATGAGCTTTTAAATTTTTTGCATGGAAGGGGCGTAATGATACAGCTTTCTATAAACTCAAAGACAGCAAAAGGGTCTTGGTCAGCATTGACATAAAAGGCATCTTCATAAAAATCTTCCAGTTCCTTGATATTCCTGTAATAGCTTTCCACGCACATCTCAATATTTTCTTCCTTGTCTCGAGGGTTCTGTCTGAGACGGGCTTGGATCTCTGGTGTGGGTGCTGGTCTGAATGTAGTGTGGTATCTGGAGATGAGATACAAATAACACTTCAGAGCTAAGGCTGAGGACACAGCAGCCATTTCCTAAAGTACTCCATGTTTTTGCTTATCACAGTTCCTTGGAAGTGACTCTATCTACTCTAGGCTGGGGGTTTAAAGCAAGTAGTCTGTTGTTCCTACTCTAAAGAATCCTGGATACTCAAAGGCCAAGAGTTTTTCTTGAGGTGACACAGAGATAGTGCTGTTGGTTTATATACTTCACACAAGGTGCAAAGAAATCCCTATTACATGCCCAATGCTCTGTGTTCCAGATTTAACCTCAAGGTAACATGTTTTACTTGTAATCTTTGACTCCTATCTTAAAAAAGGCACCTAAAAAGCCTAACCTTAAACCTTAGCATTAGTTAAAAACCTTTGCTGTGGTTTACTGTCTCCTGTGCCCTAACACAAAACCAGTTTATCCCTCTTCCTGTACAGCCAACTTTTCTGAAACTATTGGGATAGCTGCAAAACCAAGGAGAGAAGCAGAGTCTCTGTGATTGCACAGAACTGTGTTACAGCTCCTGTTGGTACAATGATGTGGACACAGAGCACATCATTATTATTTAAAGCACAGCTGAAGTCCACCCTCTTCACTGCACTGAAGCCAGCAGTGCAGATTTAACATAATGCCAAGGATTAGATATACTATCTAAAACAATTCTATTCACAATGAATTTGGAAGGAATAAAACCCAGAGTCTGGAAGAAGGAAGCGTGTTAACTGGAGCAGACATTGAACAGGCTAATCCTAATGATAAGAAATGCAAAGATGTGTGAATGATTTGCTTTATAGTGTTCATTTCTTTGGAACAATTGCATCACTTATTACTAGGCCAAAGAGAACAGTTACAGCAAATCACTGTTGCTGTCACAAGTTAATGTTGCACCTCAAGTGAGATGTCTGAATAATCATGTATCACTCTGGGATAAATCCAGTACTTATGACCTTAATCTTAGAGGGGCTGGTATTTGTCTTTGATGCCATAGGATGCATTTAACCATTAGAAAAGTAAAATAGTGATTTAAAATTTAACTGTGGGGAATCAAAACCAGCACAAGTGAAGTTGCAAATCCACAGGTGTTTAGGAAGGTATTTGTTACTTGTTCCCCCACCAAAAAGGGTGGAGAAGACCTGAAGGTCATTGGTGAAGTGAGATGATGTAACTGCCAGAGAGAGGAACAGCCACGTTTGAGAATCCAATCTTACAGTGACTCAGTGACTCAAGATTGCTCACTTTACTGAGCAGGAAAGATATTAATATCTCACAGCAGACAGAACCATCACAGGAGCTGGGGGAAGTTTTCCATTTTTCCCCAGCTGGGAAGCCTTCAAAATTCCCATGGGAATGTCTGAAAACCACGTGCATTTAGGCTAGGTTTCAGAAATCTTCCCTCAGCATTATTTTACCAACCAATTTAGTTACCATTAAAATATCAGACCTGAGCTACTTGCTACTGCAGATTTCAGGCTCCACGGTTTTCAAATGTCCTCTTCTGAGAACAGGAGCAGGCAGTACAGGTGGGTTGGTTCTTGAGTCGCTATGAAAGTTTTAACTTTTCTTTTAAGGAATCCCTTAAAGGATTAATCCCTTAAACTCTCCCTGAGTTTCCTTAGATTTCCTTAAATCCCTTAAACTCTCCCTGAGTTTCCTTAGATTTCTATGAAGTCTACCTGGCTTTCATCTCACTGGCAGTCTTGCAAAATGTTAAACATCAGACAGGAGTGCTAACCTTTCCCCAGTGACGGGATCAATCCTTCGCTGAGACAGTCGTTCCACAATGGATTCATAGGGGAGATTAAAGAAAAATACCCTATGGAGAACATAACAATTAAGTGCATTAACATCCTGAGAACATCACTTGTGACCTTCAGAGTATGAGTTAATCCTTACCCAAATGAACGGCACACACAGATGTGGAAGTGACAGTACCACTCAAAACTGCAGCATCAGAAGAGATTAGCATATGCACAGAGCCTCTCTCCTCTGGTTCTTCTCCTCACATCTGTTTAGCAAACAACCTCATCAGGGCAGAAGCTCTTTGACACACAATCTGTATGTTGCTGTGTGCATTGACAGGCCTTAATCAACAATATCATGTGGAAACTAGTGACTGAATTACAGCTGTAATATACAGTGTACACCACTGATGATCCCAGTCACATTACACTGTTGCGTATAAACTGTTGTGCCCATCTCACACTGACTCCTGGGTGTTTTGATTCATTATCATGGTCCTGTTAATTTCATGTTGTAGTTTAAAAACTCTTCAGCAGAAAATTCTTAACAAACTGCTGAGAATGAGTCCCCTGTTCCCCAGCTACTGGAGACTAAAGCAGATCTGGATGAAGATCACATTCAATGGTTAATTCAGAGCAAAATGTAAAATAAAGCTTCTTACGAAAATAAACTTTTATCAACTGAGCACGGCCTGAAGGCTGTAAAAACATCTCTCTTTATATTACACCTTCTCCTGCTGCTGCCTTCAAGGCTAGGCTTCCTGTTTTCGTTTGTGTCTGCCTCTCACAAAAGATACTGTATGCTTTAGACGTTCACCAAAGGAGCATTTTACACTGACAGGGTGGGATCAGACCAGATGAAAGGCTGAGCTTTACCTTGGCATGCACATAGCAGATTACTAGAATCCTTTGTAGGATTTAAAGTTATGAAAATCATCTCTCTCTTCAAATGTTTACAGATAATGACTTCTATTCACACTGTGGTAACAAAATAACAGCCGGGAATAAAACATTCAAGATCTCGGAGATTCCAAAGACAGGAAAAGAACAACAGTTTCAACACTCTTTTATCCCTTACACTCTTAACATTTTGTTTTTTCTTTTTTTCTGTTGCCCAACAATGGCACAAAAATGTGATTGTCAGAACAGGTAACATCTGATGATATGTCTCAAGATGAATATTCTAGTAGAGAGGAACAACATTTATACAGTCATGATAATTGATACGGCTTCCTATTATATTCTGAAATAAACAAACCCACTAAAGGATTATAACCTGGCATATCAAGAAAGCTTGTCGTAATTCATAGTTACTAACACAAAAAAGTATTATGGTATTTGAAACAGAAGAGCCTAAAAAAACTCCACTTAAAAAGCTGCCAACAAAATGAACTCTGAAAGCCTTGTCTGAGCTTCCCTTCTTTTTTATACGAGATGCTTCTTATTATCCAGTCTGGTGTCACCATTAAAGAAGAGTGTAGGGAGAAGATGTGGGAGAATATAGACATCCCTGCTAATGTGGATATTTATCTTTTTTCCCCACATGTACTGTATAATGGCACACAGAATATACTACACAACAGCACCAACTCCTAATCCAATGGTCCTTCCAATGAAGGTGGGATGCCTCACCTTGCCATACCACAGGGTATGGCAGGGTACAGATAAAGAGAAAACAACGCTCCCCAGGGCTGTCAGTTTAAAATCGTTCAGAAACAAGGAAAAAAGATGAAGGGGAAGAACACTGACTGAACTAGTGTCTAGACTTCAAATACTTCCAATTAGAAAGCGTTATTATCGTTTTGAAGGAGAAACATACCACACACAAGTCTATTATGCAGCCCCAGGAGGCTTACTCACATGAGTAAAGCCTATTTACATGTATGTACTTTCAGCAAAGTGGTAGTCTTGGGTATATGATACATCTGCTTCAGCTTCTCTCAAGGTATTTCTGAGCAACATTTTGCCTGTGGCCCTGTCTCAGGCTACTATGGCTCTGATCACATAACAAACTTGACCCTCTAAATGTCCAGAAAACAGGTTTGTTGGATTTCCCTTGGAAATCCTCCTAAGACACAGGGCTGCACTCATGACATTGATCAAGCATTTATAGCAATAGCTGGAACAATGCCCTACAAGTACTGGATTCACCTCCAAGCAGAGCTTGGCCCCTTTCACATACCAACTGTAATTCTTTTTTCACATAAATGCATCCTCTGTAAAGCTTGCTTTAGGAATCAGCCAGGCTTTGTATGTTGTAATGTGTCACAACTTCTATCAAGGGGAAATATGAAACAGATGTCATCAGAATCGGTAGACAGGAAGGCAAGGAAACACAGCCTCATATCAAAGTATACTACATTATACTGCTAGATTAGCATCCAGCACAGCTTCCCTTTCAGAGCTGGCAAGCTGTTCATTCAGCTCTGCAACAGGTGAGTAACGTCAATCAGTAGCAACATGAAGTGTGCATGGGGAGGGCTGGGCAGAGATGCACCAAGAAACCTCACTCGTGCATCACAGGCTCAGCATCTACCTAAAATCATTGGCAGTCAGTTACAAACTGGTGTTCTGTGGGGTATAGCTCAGCAGAGCCTCTCAGCACAGGACTCTGAGGACAAACTAACTACCACTGATTGGCAACACTGCTGTTAGATGCAGGACTGAAGCCAAATGGTTTGTAAGTAAAGCTGTCTCCTCTCTCTTTTGCTCTCCTCTCCCAGGAGAAACATGTGAGAGAAGGTCCAGTCCTGTCAGCAAGCTTGCATGGATAACAAAACCATGAACTCAAATGTTAAAAGGGAAAAAAAATATCTTGTGTCAGAATCCTGCCTCTTCCTAACTGTACTTGACATCACTTACCTGATCTATCACTGCTTTTGGATACATTAGAGAAATTAAACTCCAACAGATTCATAATGTTGATGACACCTTCACTGTGTACCTAGTCAAATGAGAACTAGTGGCCTTTGGATAGCAATGAAATATATAAGGCCTCTACCAGCTGGAATATAATGTCATTTTCCTTCCAGCCATCTGGCATTCCAAAAGGGTATTCCAATTGCTTCTGGCTTCTGACTATTCAGACAGCGTTGTCTAAGATCCTAGAGGTCACCAGGGCATCCTGATGGCTTCCCTTCGCAGACAGAGAGAGGAGAAGGTAAAAGTATGGGTGGCACAAGTTTTGTTTCATGCCTGATCATGAGACAGCATTTCTGGAAAAATGAGTCACAACCATCCAATAAGTGAAGGAAGGTTTTTTGACCTACACAACAGCATTCAACTAATTCCCAACTGCATTTGTTCCAGATGGCAACCAACCTAGTTAATCCCAGTGATTAACAATTGACAGCGCTCAGAGTTGTCCTCAGGAGAACTTTTGGTGGTAATTTTCCTGTTTTGTGGACATAGTCACCAAATTAAAACACCTATAATGGAAAAAATATGAATGTTTCTGTAAGACAAGCAAGTGCTGCATGCCTGAATTCTTCTATCCCTGAGCTAGGCATTCAGGCAAGCTCCTCCTGTGCACTGACAGTCCCTGTCCAGGATGGCTCCACTGCCTTGCCAGCTACCTTCACATCTCCAGAGAACTAAAGTTCTGCCTGTAAGCCACGGCCTTCCACCAGTTTTGGTCCTGTAATTTAAACATAGCTGTTTGATGAAGCTGACCTACGTGGATGAGATGTTGACTGTTCTAGACCTGAGCTATTTACTTAAGTCAGATCCCCATCCTTGTCATTTCCCACTTCCTGGAGTTGCTCTGGACTGACATTGGTGGAGAGGAGCCCAAAGCCAAGCTCTTTTTGTAAAATTATCATCTGCAAAATTTGACCTATACCATTAAATCCAATTGAATTCATACCTTGCTTTCATTTAAGGATGAAAAGACAATGCAACATGATATCTAAGACAGAATCCTAACTCTCCTCCTGGCTTTTAATAGCAGAGACTACTGACTTGCTTGTGGCTCTACCAGGGCCAGATCAAGCCTTGCAGTCAAGTTATGATGCTTGAATTAAGAAAAAATACAGCATGAAACAACACTGGGCCACTTCTAATGTGGTATTTAAACCTTTGAGTTGAAACTGCAACTTTAAAAATAGCAAGCTATTAATCTTTCTCTTATATTCTTAACTCCTATAGATCTTCTCCCTCATAGGCAGGTACCAGCTGCCATATTTCCATTCTTCACGCTCTGCACTCTGCAAAAAAAAAAAGAGGCCCCTGCTGGCCAATTCTTGTTTAAAATTGTGCATAATTGATAGTGGCAAATCTACCCCAGCTGTGTCTAAAGCCTCTCCAGGGGCAAGAAAAACACTCTCTGTGACTGTCATTAACTACTAAATTAGCAAGTGCTCCTGGCAGTTTACAACGTACCACATCAGTCTGCTTAAAAAAAAAGAAGGATGTAAAGATCAGATGCCTGTGTGGTCTCAAAGTTACAGCAAACTTTGCTGGCAGAATTCTGACAGAACCTCAGCTAAAGAGAAGGGGAAAGAGAGAGCAGGAGAGAGGGACAGTGAAAGAAAGAGGAAGGAGGGAATGAGAGGAAGGGACACAAAGTTACACTCTTTTTTCAGGCAGACAAATAGAAAATGTTAAATTCAAGGGTAGAAAATTGAGCCTTTCAGAGTCACAGTACATCCTACTCAATATGGAGAAATCAATGCAGTGTTATGTGATTCTATGGCACAATTCCCCATGGAAAGTAACTCTCCTTGAGGACTTGGTTCTGGCAATGCAATAGCTACAGCTTTTGTAATAGAGTTATAAAGCTGAAAAAGAGATGAGGCTGTTGAAGTGTATGGATGCAGTAGCTCTCTAAAAGGCTACCACAGGTAAAATGCTTATGTGATCACTGGTACAAATGCAAGCTCCTCCCATTGGTTCATAAAACAGCCAAAGCAGGTGGAGAAGGAAATAACACAGTTCTTGTAAAAGGACAGAAAAGCCTTGGGGGGCACCATGGAATCAACTGGCAGAGAGACAAGGAACATCTCCAGCAACTGCCCTGAATTTGACTAAACTCTAAAGCCCATTATTAAAATTCACCACAATTTTGTTTTAAAAGTTTCCAAAAATGCATACAACTGGACAAACTTCTGGATCATACAGGCACCACAAGCCAGAGAGGAACGGGATGACAGGCTTGGCCAAGATACAAGAAAAATCTGCATTGCAGAAAGGTTTTCTTCTTGGGTAGCACCACTGAATTATCACAGTAATACAGCAAATCAAGTTAGTGGTTCAAGCTGACAGGTACAAGGAAATTCAGGTTTGAATCCAAGTCACTAATCCCAGCTAAAACCCAGGTCATTTTGTCTCTAGCCAGAGATACCTGACTTGGATCGATTAGGTCCCCTTAAGAATGTTCCCTTTCCTGCAATATAAAGACACCTTGAACCTGAAACCTTGGTCAAGCCTCTTCTCAAGCACTAGGGGCCCAGCCACAGGATCCTGAGCACGTTATAGTTCCATAATTACGTTCTGCAGCCCCAAAACCTCTCTCAAAATTTAAACAGGTTACATAGATCCCAACTACCTTTTCCTCAGTCTTGCTCAGATTTCTCTTTTTTTTTTTCTCAATAAACCAGGCATTTTGCTCATGGGTAACCAGACTACAAAGGATCTTCTGAAGCTGTACTATAGACTGGACGTGGATCTTAGTTTACATCTTACTCTAAATACTCCTTCTGCATGTCTCTGCAATGGATGAAATGATCCTTATCTCTTATTTATAGAAGGAGCTGTTGGGAGGTTTTATTCAATGATGTCTTTCAAATTCTGGGATATGTTCTGATGAATGATGCTTGATTCTATTTTGGGAAGTAATTTCACCCTCTAGGTTTTGACCATAAGGGAAAATACGTTGCATAAATACTAAAACACAGGTTAATCGGCACAAGTGTTTTGCTCATTGAGTTCCTATACGGATTCATGTGATGATAAGCTGCTCCCAGACACTGGATCTTTCTTTTTCAAATGGATGCATTTCTGTCCAATAACCACAACAGGCAGCTAAGTGGGGCACTATTCCCAGGACATGGCTTCTGGCCAGGGGAGCGAGATGAACAACATCCTTTGTAGCTGCAGATGTTCCTTGCCTTCACCAGCAGTGCAGAGTAATGACTATTAGATGTTTTCCACCCACCAGTTAGATGTGCTCAGCCTGCAACAGTCCAGACATCTGAGGTGGCAGGGTCCCTGCTGCATCCCACCCCACAAGCCTGGTATCTCAACAGCATCTCAGCGGGTGCCACACCAGCTTAAGCAGGGGGGGACAGGCGCAGCCCTGCTAGGTAGCACTGTCTTTCTGCTTTCCAGAACAATGGGCTAGAGCTTGAGCTGGGATAAAGCAAAGTCACTCCACTGGCATCACACAGATTTACACCAGTGAAAAACCCCAGGCTTCTGGCAGTAAGAGCCATTCTATGTGGAAGAACTCCTGCCTCCGTAAACGTTCCATCAGCACAGCAAAAGGCACGCATACACAGAGCAAGTGTTTTCATACTAGGGGCTTTACCAGAATCTTAAAGCTTCTTTTGTGAAGGCAGTATTAACTCTTGCCATATGTAATAAATGGCTGGGATGCACTGGTACCTCCATTCGAAACTGGTTTACATTTCTATCTTCATTTTTATTCTTTGCCTCCTTCTTACTCTCAGCTGCTATTCCAGCATCTCTGCATTCCCCCTGGAGTTCATTCCAGTGGTGCTTTGTGAATGACAGAGTAAGATGGCAGCCAGCACTGCTTTAGAGTAACGTGGCTGGCACAATTTCCACTCTCTACAAAGTTAATCTAATTCAGTCTCAGATAATCGAAAGCCTCTGCAGCCCCAGAAGCCTGAGGTCAGGAACCTGAACCCGTTTCCCCAAATGCAGTCCTGTTTCCTCAGATGCTTGCAACCCCCCCCGCAATAATTAGATTCTGCAAAGCAAGTCTTGAGTGAAGCAAGAACTCCAGGGTTAAGGACTAGCAAACTCTTATCAGAACTGATGCCTTTGCTACCTGTCTGCAGCCTTTCTGTAGCACCTCCTGCTCCTAACAAGGATCCCATACTTTTCTTATTAAATAAATGGAATCAAATTTATAGTGAATGATACATTCCCCCCCCCATCACTTAAACACTAATTTTTGTTGTTGGTAGGATATTTGGGACAAAAAATGAAATAAATAAAAGAATTTACACCAAAAAAGTGTATGATTCAGGGGCAAGGGGAGGGAATAAAAGAATGGATTATAATGTGTCATTTTATATATGTGTCAAAGGAAACCAATTTCATAATAGGGAATAAAAATTCCCTGTTTAAATACTGTCAAATAAATCCTCAAATGTAATAGGGTTCACTTCTGGGGAAAAGAAAACTAAATCTGATTAAATATTAATGTGCCGTAGTATTAATTAAGAGAGAAAAAAGTCCATCAAGAGAACCCCAATATGTTTACTGTGTCCCCAGGAAGCTGGAAAATTTCACAATCAAGTGTGTAAATGTTCTAAAAAAGGGTCCTGAATATTTTATGAATATTTGTCATAAAACAGAAATAATAACCACTGTGCAGAGCTATTAGAATTAATATTTATGCTGCCCGCCATGAAATATTCATGGGGACGGAGAAAGGGGGGCCCGTAAGACAAGAATTAATTTACATTGGGCTTGGTTTACCCGCTGGCTTGATGTTTAAAGACGGGTTGACAAGCCTCCATATGAATCCGTCAGTCACTTGCAGCAGTAGGTGGGGTGAAGGCAGGGGGAGGCGGGGGGAAACGGGTCCAAGCTGCTGACAGCACACAGATTGAGTTTCTGACAGCCCTTAAAAAATCTAAACGGCCCCCCACCTTTTTTTCCTTCTTCCATTGCCCAAGGCGCTCTGTACTGCCACCGTTCATCCGATCTCCCCTTCCATCTGCTGAAATTAAGGAATTAATGAGCGCTATACACTTTACAGCGGGCCCCAGGAATGTTTACTGGTGATTAAATTATAATGCAGCCAAGCTGTATAATTCATGAACCAATTAAAGGAAGTGTTAGTTGATTTGATGGGATGAGGACGTACAAAAAGCATTTAACTAATAGGGAACCGTGGGCTGCCGGTCGCTTTGGCTTTCTCGGATTACGCGGCTAATTGCTCTGCTTTATAGGGCTGTCACAGATAGCCATACATATTTCATTGTTCTCAAATACTTCAATTGTTTGCTTTCGTGTTGCTGCTGTAATATGTAGAAGCTCAGCCAAACTTCAGTGTAGTTAAAGCACTACTCTGCAAAAGCAGGTTGCTTTGGGAGGAGGGAGGAATGAGAGGGGCAGGAGGAGAAGGCTGGCTGACAAAGGAGTAACTTAAAGCCTCAGAGTTAAATGTCACTCAGCAATTACATGATTAAAAGGTGCAACATATGATAGTCTTTTGTTTTACAACTTTTTGGACACTAATATTCTATGCTGACTTCACTGAAGAGAAAATATTGGCGTGCTAAGCTGCATTTCTTTTTTAATACTGTGGAGCAAAAGAAGGTGGAGAGGGAAGTAGATTTAAAAAACTTCATCAGGGAGGAGCTAGATTGCTGCGGTTATCAAGAATAACACATCGTGGTTTAACTTCCATGGATCGATATTCTAAAATACATGAGAGATGAAGGAGGTTGATTTCCCATTGGGAGAATGCTCCGTGTCTAATTCTGAGAGCTGCTGAGTTGTGCTAGCTACTCGTGCCAACAACTTCAGTTTATTACACAAGGAATGGGGGAATTTACCATTTCTGCTGTTTTGAAAAGTACTCCCCTCAGCTGACAGGCCACAGGATTTTATGAAATGGATTCTCTTGCTTTGAACAGGCCTATCAGTCAAGTTACTTCTGTCCTCACACGTTGTTCTAGCAATGAAATCCCCAACCCATATACAGAAGTACACATATTGCTGCAGGAATTAGGTGCTATCAGATAAACATCACAAACATGTGCATTAATTTGTGGTTAGACCCTGAAATCTACTGAATAAAGAACAAGCCGGTAAATACACTGTTTCTGCAGCTCAGTGGACTGCAAACTTCTGTGGGTCTCTAATGAGGTATACTGCCACCCACCTGAGGAGCACCATGGTAAATCTTCACCTCCTGTCTAATTTAGAGCTTTACATTTCAAAGTGTTGTACAAACACCAACTGAATGACTTTCAAGATATCCTATTATGTAAAGCTCATAATCTGGTTCATCCCTTTCCTTACAACCACTCCCTCCAGGATTTGGCTTTGGAAAGCAGTCCCTGTGGAGTGCCCCCACTGATGCTCCGGTGGGCTTCTGCTCTACTGCACGGAGCATGAAATCCCCTCGCCAAATCTGCCCACACCAGTGAAGCCAAGAGGGGATGTTGGCCTGCCGGAAGCAAAACTCTGTGCAAAACCACACCAGTTTTAAGAAAGGTCGTGTTAGGCAGGGACAGCCAACAGCTGGGGATAAGGATTGCTCTTCAAAACATGCCAGGTTCACTTTGACAGTCCAGTTATGAATCATCTCCCAGCCAAGCGCCACAACACTAAGAAAATCCATCCCTGCTCTCCTGTTGGAATTGTTCTGTTTTGTATAAAGAATTACATAAAACCAGAAAAGCAGAATATCTCTGTAGTTCGATGCAGGTGTTCATGAGGGAAGCGAGACGCATTCAGTGAATACTTGCTTTATTCTACAAAGCAGAGCAAGCCTAAGAAGCCCCAGAAAGGAGGTGAACATTCCACCTCCTATGGCAATGCTCAGATTAGCAGGCTAGGGTTTGTCCAGGTGGAGAGATAGGTGGGAAATTAAAAGAAAAATGATTTCTTGTATAGGTTGACCCTGATGTTAAAAAGATAGTATGCCAAGAAAAAAAATATATAACTCCCTTTATTCATAGCTAGTATATATTGTTAGTTTGTACCTAGCTTCTGGGTTAAGTAATGCAAAACTTTGGCTTAAGACGTTAGTTTAATAGGTAGTCTCCAAAATAAGGGATAATGACACCAGTTACACGGCAGGAAAACCTGTCATTAACCCACAGTGTGGTTGAGTAAAATGGAAATTGGATTGCCTGTTCTAGAAAATAGAAAGGTTAAGTTGTCTGGGAGATAAAGTTGATCCTCAGCCCACCTAAGTGGGCAGTGCCTGGGATCTGAAATATGACTAGCCAGATAATCACCTGGTCACTTAACACACACAGTTGAAAGCCAACATGTGATCTTGGTAGGCTTTGAATTATACCATTCTTGGATTAAAGACATCTGCAATTTGGTAAAAACCATTAAATATGCCTGGGATAACAACAAAAAGTGCGTATGTTTGTGTAAACAAACTAAATAACCTCACACACTGGTCCCAGAATCAGTGAGCTGCACCAATGTGGGCCTTACATGGGGAAAAAGCAGAGGTGGGACTCAGACCCAGGAACCACTTTCTGCCAATGATTGCAAACAAGGAAATGTCAGAACTTTCCAATGTCAAGATATCAAAGGCACTGCAGGAAGTATTTTCTTCCTTGCCTTTTAAGTGCCCTGGATATAATCAATCACACAAAAAAAACCCACTCCTATATTTTGGCTCAATGTGGAAAGGGCTATTTGCATTTCAATATGTTCAACTTATACTGCCAATAAAAACATGGAATCATGAAGAAGAGATCAGGCCACTGGAGTGAAAAACAAGAGATGACACCCTGCAGACCTTTCAGATAAAACAACTCCTTGTAACATTTCTGTTGACGTCCCAGTATTTCTGAATGATTGGGTTTTCAAATGAGATCAGTCAGCATGCAAATGAGGCAACAGGATCAAGACATCTCCCATAGCTGATTGGATAGAGAAATTATCAAAAGACCCTTTTTTCATATCAAATTTCCATCACAAAAGGTCAAACTTTCAACTCCCATTACTTTTGCTAACTGCATTTCACTGTGCCTGCCAGCTCATTGCTGCTGCTGTTTCCAGAGGAAAAAAGAGAAGTAACAAATGATTACATCCTCCCCCGCATCTGTCACACAGGATGGACAAACATTTTCTAATCTTATACTATTTTTTCTCTACAGCCCTCAAAATCCTCGCAGCCAAAACATCACTTCTAACCTAATTGGCTATTCCCAGGTTGTTTTTATTTTTCTTATAGGCTTCTTTCTTATTTTCTAGCCTACAGACAGACAAGGGCATCAGCTCTGTTGCCAGAATGTTTTGTTCTACAGTTTGGCTATTTAAAATACTTTTTGATGTGTGCTTTTATATATTTCCTTGTGTTGTCTGGCTGTAGTGATGCCTAAATACTCACACAATGGATGTTCCAGAAAAACAAGAGACAAAGAAAGAGCATCATTTCCCCTGAAATCCTCACATAGCTGTATTTTCTCCTGCAGTCCATCCCTGACAACAAACATTGCTTGGCCTTCTGTAGATTTTGATCCATTCTTCTGGTGAACATCTGATCATGGCCTGAGACTCCAAGGCTTTGCCCTGCCTGCTCAAAACACTGAACTCGCGCAAATTCAGACGACTTACACCCTTGTGTCCAAGCAGAGGAGCAGCACAGCACTCCAAGGTCTCATCCACTGCTTTTCTAGGTTTAAAGCTGAATTTTGGAGCAGCAGAGATAGCAAGTGGGGCTAAGATGAATACAGGACTCAATGTATTTGTTGCTACTCCACCCATAAAAATTCTCTCTCAACATTCTTATCATTGCAACATATATAACCCATCAGATTAGTACCTAGAGATTTCTACTCTCCTGATTTTCTCTGTTGTTCTTATTAGTCAACAACTAAATGTTTCACAAAGCCATTTCCTACAGAAATATTTATGTTCCCAAATGTTTATTGCCCCCTCTATCATGATCAAGCTTTTATGAGCACTCTATACAGAACTCTGAATTAAAGACATAATTTCTGACCTATCAGATCTTGGCTTGACGCTGTGTTTGTCTGTTTTATACAGCAAGGCATTGTAGTGAACTACAGAATACCTTACAGAAAAACTAATTTATACAGTAAAGATATTTCCATCCAACATCGTGTGCGTTGGTGATTACAGAAAGTTAATGAGGACCAGGAGGATGTAGGGTTTAGATTCCAGCAAAGGCATTTATTCATTGTGCTAGATTTTCTGAACAACCTTTTTAGGTAATTCCTACAGAGCTGTGGACATTGGGCTCTGTACCGAGCCAGACACAGCCTAGGTACAGAGCCAACAGAACTAGAAGGAGATGGAGGATGATCCTTGTAAGTGCTACACAAATGCATCTCCCTTGCTTGCTCCACATCACACGGGTATCTGCAGCTGCACAGAGTAATTCACTCTGCAGTGCACTCTCTATTTCTGCTGGTGGCTGTGAGCCATAACCAGTAAACAGACCACACTGTTAGCTGACTCCAGGATTACTCCTTCATCTTTGTTTTTTCATTTTTCTTCTCCTTCTGACCAAAAGTGCCTGTGGCAACTTGTGAATGTCTGTACGTACTCAGTAAACTAAACTTTTGGCCTCTTTATCATATCAGATCAAGGCAAAGTTGAGCTCCATTGTACTCAACAAATGCCAGTCATAGAACGCAGGAAGACTGTGCAGGTAAGTTCTCCAGTGGCAAAATAATGGTGATTGTATTTTGTCTATAGGTCTTTACTCTTCACAAATTTATTACTATTGAAACACTAATCTTCAGGCCACCTAAATGGATAAAAAGTCATTCTCTGAAAGGTTAACATTTGTAGTATTCTCTTTTTTTTCCTGGGACAGGTTTGGTCAAAAGATGTCCAGGATGAACTGGGGATCTCAGTCACCGGATAATGTTCCCATGATTTAATAATGGGCTCTTCAATGTAGCTGAAAAAACTCTAAGAAGATCTGTGAACTGGAAGCTGTATTTGACATTCAGAACTGAGAAGTGGGCTTCCAACAATGAGTAACTGCAT